CCAGTCACTTCTTGCCTTTGTAGCCCCCCCACTTTGGGTAGCCAATGTGTAAATTGTCCATCCCTGTCTACTCTTGATCATGTACTACCTCTTGAAATAGTTGAACATCAACCATTTATTTTTCATATAGTGATTCTGTATATTCCTCCCATCTTCTTTTGATGCTTTCTGCATTATTCAATATTTTGTCCATAGAATCCTTCAGTATTTCAAATCGAGACTTGAATTTTTTTCTTCAGTTATTTCAACTTGAGAAATGCTGAGCGTGTTCTTCCCATTTAGTTTTCTTACTCTGGGTCTTTGCACATTTCATTATAACACTTGACTTTGTCTTCAAGAGCTGCCTTTTGAAAATTTCTGCTCAGCTCTTTTACCTTCTCATTTCTTCTATTTGCTTTAGCATCTCTACACTGTACAGCAGTGTCTCTTTTGACATTCATTTTGATCTTTTCCTTCTTTTGTGTCTTCATAGTGACCTTTTTCTTTCTTTATGTATGATGTTCTTGAGTCCCACAACTCTTCTGGTCTTCAATCATTAATGTCTAAAGCATCAAACTTGTTCTTGAGATGATCTCTAAATTCCGGTGGGATACATTCAAGGTCAAATTATGGTTGTCGTGGGCCTGCTTTAATGTTTTTCATCTTCAGCCTGAATTTAAGGCATTTGATGGTCTGTTCGCCAGTCTGCCCTGGCCTTGTTTTGACTGATGATATGAACCTTTTCTACCATCTGATCCCACAGATGTGGTCAATTTGATTTCTGTACATTCCATCTGATGAGATCCGTATGTATAGTCATTTTTTATTTTGTTTAAAAGGATATTTGTAATGAATAAGTCATTGATCTTGCAAAATTCTATCATAGGATCTCCAGTATTGTTTCTTTCACCGAAACCAAAATTTCCAACTTCTAATCCTTCCTCTTTGTTCCCAACCTTTGCCTTCCAACGACCAGTAATTATCAATACATCTTGTTTGCATGTTTGCTCAATTTCAGACTGAAGAAGTTGGTAGAATTTTTCAATTTTATCATCAATCGCTTTAGTGGTTAGTATGTAAATTTGAATAATAGTAATATTAACTGATTTTTCTTTTAGGCATAGGGATGTCATCCTATCACAGACAGTATTATACTTTAAGATCTTTAAATGTTCTTTTCGATGAAGATTCCTCTTCAATTTGCCATTCCCAGCATCATAAACCATAGGATTTTCAGATTCAGAATGGCCAATAGCAGCAGTCCATTATAGCTCACTAATGCCTAGGATATCTATATTTATGTGTTCCGGTTCATTTTTGAAAACTGCCAATTTTCCCAAATTCATACTTCGTACTTTCTTGTGTTCTGATTATTTATGGAAACTTGAAGCTGTTTCTCTTCCCTTTGAGTTGTGCCCCATCAGTAAATGAAGGTCCCAAAAGTTTTACTCCATTTGCATCATCGTGGTCAGCTCTACATTGAGGAGGCAGCTCTTCCCCAGTTGTATTCTGAGTGCCGTCCAACCTGAGGGCCTCCTCTTCCGGCACTAAATCTGACAATAGTCCACTGCTCTTCATAAGGTTTTCAGTGGCTAAACATTCAGAAGTAGTCTGTCTCTCCTTCTTACTAATCTGGCTTAGTGAGGCAGCTCAGCTGAATCCTGTTAACCCTGGGATCAGTCTGGTATTTAAAATAGTGGTGGCCTTGCTTCCAGCATCACAGCGACACGTGAGCCACCATGGTACAACAAACTGACAGGCGTGCTGGGAATTTTTCTTTTTAGTTTTGTTTCTAATCAAATTGTGTTTTTTTCCCTCAGGAGGGCTAAATATTTATTAAATATAGTAAGAAATTTAATTTTTTTAAATAGAAGCTCTTATACTCCTTATACATAATCATAAATCATTGTACATACTGTTCATATCAATATGATCATTTCTGTTCACCCATGTCTCAGAATTGTGGATTCAAATTGAGAATTCTATATCCCTCAGGTAGATATTTGAAGTGATATTGACAAATAAATTAATGTAGACTAATTAATGGGCAGAGTTTTCTGTTAATAGTAAATGGGAAAGTGCTCTTATGGAATAAGTATATGCCCTAAAAATATTCTTTTAAAGAAAGTTACATTTTCCCATTGTTCTCAGATATATAATTTCTAAAGTATTTCTTCTTAGACTGTGGAAACATTAAAAAAAATTCAAGAATGACTCATGAACTGTTAACTTAGTAGAGAAACTGTTGAATCATTCATTCATTCATTAATTCATGTATCAGACTTTTCTTGTGCTAAAAAATAAGTCTTATGCTCAGCCTTGAAGTTACAGAGATAAAAAGCAGCTACCATCCAGCATTGTAGAGACACATGTAGACAGCAAATCACTTAAATCCACAGGGAATTAAGAAAGTTCTGAGGAACACTGGGGAGGAAGTGAAAATTATACAAGAGGGATGCTGAGATAACATGTTATGGAAAAGGTTCATTTAATTTGAAGCAGACATGGTTGAGAAATATAGCAGACATTTTTATTTGCAATGTTTTTGTGAAAACACGGAACATTATTTGTTTGGTGTGAGGCTAAAGTATAGGTGCATCGCAGGAAGAGAAATCAGGGGATAAGTGGGCCCAGATAGGGAAGAATCTTGACTGTTGTGCTGAGAAAGTGTGTGCTTCTTTCTGAAGGTACAGGGAAAGGTGTTTAGGTAGGGGAATGACTTGCTCAGTCCCTGTGTTCTAGGAAAGTAACTGGTGGCAAATGAGGGGCGGATAATTGAAGAAAGGAGCAGTTAGAAGCTATCCATGGTTGAAGGCGAAGGTAGGAGGGCCTCAATTAGGACTGTGGAGGTTGACATAGAAAGGTGATAGAAAGGTGAAGAGAGACCCTAAAAGCTTTCTGAAGAAAGGATTTGTAGGATCTGATGTAGTGTGAGAGTGAAGGGAATTAGGGGTCTGATCCTTTGGGGGAGATGATGTCATTACATGGAGGGACACAAGAAGAACACGTTTGTAGAAGAAAAATGAGTTTATTTTATACAAGTTCATGAAGATTCTCTAAGTTACGATGGCCAATAAATTGTTGAAGATAGAAGGAAAGGTTAAGGGTGCTGTAGATAATAGAGATGTCAGCAGACAGTAAAAGAGACCAGTGAGGGAGAGAAAAGGTAACAGGTGAGACATCAACCTTAAAAAATAGTAAATAAAGGAAGAGGAACCTGATCGGAGATGAAGGTGTAGTGCCAACCAGAAGTCTGGTTCTTTCAAGAGAAATCTTCAGGCACTGCAGAGGTGGCCAGCAAGAAGAAGGCTGAGGAGTCCTTTAGATCTGGCCATTGGGGTTGGCAGTGCCCTTTGCCAGAGTGATTTTAATGGAGGGATGCATTGCAGTGCGTGAAAGCAAGAGGCTGAGTGTGGACTACTGTTCCAGATAGTTCTGTGGGAGAGGCAGATGCAGCTGCGTGGTGAGGTTGTTGAAGGAAGGGAGGGACATGCACACATTCTTGGCATCTGTTTTTGCCCAGGGCTGTGCCCAAGGAACAAGCAGCTGAAGCCTGAATTCTCTATCCACATAAGACTCTTAGTTGAAGGCTGGCAGGAGTTTGTTTCAGTTTCCTGCTTTTCTGTTTTTGTAGTGGTGAATTTCTATAGACTTGGAGTCTCTGTAACAGGATACCCAGACCTACAGGGAAAAGAGCTATGTAGGTAATGTTCTTCATAAGCCTTAGCTGTTCTTGCCAGATTTCATTCACACGATCCCAGCAGGCTTTCATGAAAGCCTCCTTTTCAGTCATGTTTGCAAAGCATTTCAAGCTCTGGTGGGATTTGAGGTTTAGATGTGTTGGTTTGACTAACTAAATGAAATCACTGTTTTGAGTTTGGTGATTACCTCATTTATTGCAGTAGGTATTAGCCACAAAGTAGCAGGAGGTAGAAGAACATTCCGTGGGTTTTGTAAATTGAGTCAAAAGAGCTTTCTACCTTTCTAGCCCCTCACAGTGGCCACCACCTGGGATAACTGAGGTTCCTGTCAATCTCTAACCTGCTCCTCTCCCTTAGTCTGCTTTTGGGCAAGGGTGCATTTTTAGAAAGAAATGGAATCTGGGGCTACATCTGTATATTTAATTATCACCTAAACTTAATTGCGCCTGACTTGTTTTATCTCTTAACTTTCAGTGGGTAGGAGCCAAACAGCATGAATTACAAGTAAACTCAATGCAGTTACTGTACTACCAGGCACCGGTGTCATCTGCCATGCTATTAGTCGCTGTGCCCTTCTTTGAGCCAGTGTTTGGAGAAGGGGGAATATTTGGTCCCTGGTCCATTTCTGCTTTGGTAAGTACTGAATTTGTGTGTGTGAGTCTTTAAGAAGCATTATAATAATCACCTCTTCATTACTAATGCAGTGTTTAGTTTTCAGAGTGCTAACTCATATCCATTCTCAAATTTAATCTTCATAGTTACCCTGGAAGGAGGGCAAGATAAGGGTTCTTTCTTAGATGAGAAAACTAAATTCCAAAGTCAAAGGCAAAACCAGGACTAGAATTCAGATCTATTGGTGCCTGGTTTGCGTTCTAACCACACTAAATTACAGCTCACAAATAATTTGGAAATAAACGTGTGACTGCAAGGTCGGTTTGAGCTTCAAAGTGTCATTTCAAAATCACCATCCGCTCCTTGGAAACCTTATACAGGATTACTGTGAGTTGGAACCAACTCCACGGGCACAACGACAATTTCTATTTTGTTTTTTTTTCTTCACAGTGAAAACATAATTTTATTAGTTTTGTTTTAATAATATAAGTAGTATGTGTTCAGAGTATAGATTCTAAACATATATGTTATTGTTGTAAAGTGCCTTCCAGTCCATTGCAATTCATAGCGACCCTGTATAGAGTTTCCTAGGCTTTTAAATTTTTTTTTTT